ATGTGATATACATTCAAGCTGAGGCGCCTAGGTTCACGTATGCAGTTATGTATTAGCAGGTGGCCTTTTCCACATCGGCGGAGGGACATTGATGAATCAAACAATGACTTGGATGTTTATAAATCATGAAGTGGGATCTTTTGTTGATCTGGGGGGAAACATATCTGGTGTGGTATTTCGTCGAGCATCTTTGTGACCTCATCAGTGGCTGCGGGTCTGCGCCTGCAGGATGCAGATCCTCCAACTCTTTTTGTTCTGGGACCTGCCCACATTGTCTGTCCCCCATTTCATCTGTCGCGAGTCCTGGAAACATAAATGCACACTTTTTAATCAGGGAGTTGAGGAGATGACCCACACGAAACTCAATAAATCCACATTCAGTTCGAACAAATACTAAAAAGAAATCAGTAAAATCGCATTAATATGGGAATGTGTACCGGATCTTTAGCTTTAGCTAACAGGTACTGTATATAAAAATATTATATTACAATATTATATTACAATAGATGTACAATGATTTTAGACTAATTTGTTTTTATAAAAATCATCACCACTGTATAAAAAAAGTTAAAGTGATCAACTTGTTTAACCCTTTAGGCACCAAACATGCTACATGAGCCTCTAAATACAATAAACATTTCCCCCTTTTTTCCATTTTTACATACTTTTCCGTTTTTGCTCCATCCATTGGTAAAAGTTCTATCCTGGCAAGAGCCAGATTGATGATTGTGTAGAACTCTAATGCGTTCTCCACAATATCAATCTGGGACTTCTGGCAGGGAAGAATCCTTTCGGGGAATAGGAGGGATAAGCAGTGAGAACAGTAGTGCAGTACTTCAAGCTGATTGGGCGAAGTGACGCTGTGTGCCCGCCTACCAAGGTTTGACTTAAACCAATCCCGGTAACATTATGTCATCATCGGCGTTGCACAAAGCGCCTCTCGCTGTTCATCTTTCAAAAAAGAAATTGGGAGATTCTGCTAAAACTGACTTGATAGCCTCAGCTACGCGTCCGTCCTCCTGCGTAGCCATGTTTGTTTTGCTTCGGCGCGGCACTTCTTGCTTTCGTCAAACGGATATCCCGCCCTAAACCCCCAGACTGACACCTAGATGTTCTACTCGAAAAGGGTTGGCGGGAGCCGGGCAAGATGTATTCTCGAGTGTTTGTGAACTCACAAATACCGCGAGAATTCAGCTTGCAGGCAAGGTTAGTAAAGTTCTGTCTGTTTCACAAAGCCAATGACAATACCTAAACATTGAACAACGTTTCTGAAAAAAACTGGCGCCTAAAGGGTTAACATGACGCTCATCTCTGCTAATCATCACAACTACAAAAAACACAAATCTCTAGCTTTAAACATATCTACTGCACCACAATCTATTCCTAAATGAGACAACCTACCTCCTTTACAAGATATCCAGGCAATTATAAAGAAAAACCATAAATTAACAAAAATACATCAGACAATGTAGAGGAAAAGTCTCATTATTAGGCTGTTACAACCTCAGACCTCCCAAAGTGAATGACACATTACATAATAACCATACATTATACACATCAAAGAAATCTGTCAGAGGTGCTGACAATTCATGTGAAAACCTCTGTAACAAAGCCATTCACTAGTTTTTTTCTAAGAACCATGCCTTGCTGCCAGCTTCGAGTAATGGCTTCCAAATGATGGGTGTGGTCGATGTATTCTATAAACTGGAAACCGCAAATACAAGCTGATATTGGAAATGCTTTAAATGGTATTTTTGGTGGATTACCTGAATAACCTCTTCATATTTCTTCACAGTTTGGTGTAAATCTTCGTCCTTTTGGGAAATCACCTTGCGCAGTTGAGTGGCCTCCTCTCGATGGCTGTAGATGAGCTCAGTCTCCACTGCCTGGGCCTTTTCTGAGCCAAGACAAAAGGGAGAGGGGCCAAAGTTAACACATGCATAATGTAATGGCCAGGGATCCAAACCGCTCACTCACATCCGAACTGGCATCGCATTTAACTACAAGAGGAACATTGCAGCTCACTTTAGCTACACCCTTTCACAAGAGCTGAACGTTGTTTGTGTAGGTATTCTGTGACACTCTCGTGGTCACATTTAAGTGAGAATACAGAATCTCAATATGCTGGTTTAAGGCCTGTAAATATTCGGAATACAAATCCAATAATTAATGCTTTATTGTACATGAATACATATTTTCCTTGTATATATAATATAATAATCAACCTTTTATTTGATGTTTTATATAAATTATATTAACAAATGTTTTATTGAAATATTAACATTTTACCAGCTGGGTTTTCTTTCTTTCAAACCACAAACATTTAACAATGGCTCCAAGATAGTTATAACTGGTTTTCACATGCATGTATTTTTGGCCTCTGTCACGTCTTTAGATCAGCTTTTTCAGACGGAAAAGTTAAAAGAAGAGGACAACACAGCCTTCAGCTCTCAGCCCAAAGTGTCAAATAGTGAATTTGTGAAGTATGAAAAAGATAACATTGCTTTCCAATAATATTAAGATGCTTTACTTTTTACAAGACTATCATATCTGCTGGGGACAAAAATTTTATATTTAGTAAACAAAAAAGTCCAGTACGCCAGCTTCATTTTTCCACTTTATCTTTTGTCATTCTACAATACAGTTTAAACTTTCACCAAAGCTCTCAGGTCAAATGAGGTGTGTTGTACCAATGGTTTCGGTCACAGCCGTCTCGAGTTCGCGCTCCTTTAAGGCCATTTGTGAGCTGAACTCCCTCATTAACTGCTTCACTGTCGAGTTGTGCTTCAATTCCATATCCTCCAGCTCTGATCTACCAGGACATACACAAAGCACACAGATTAAAAGCTTAAAGACACTGCAAACAATGCAAAGACTAAACAATGTTGAAACTCACTTGAACTTTTTGTCCATCTCCTCCATCACCTCTTTCTTCACCAACTCCAGCTCCTGATCGTGCTCTTTTCTCATCGCCCGCACGTCTTTCTGTAACCTCACAAAATCTTTGTGGATTTTGTCTTTTTCATTTTTCATCTGGCTGAGCCGGTTCTTCAAGCTTTCATATGAATTGGCATCTCCCGTCCCGGAGTGGTTTTCCACATCGTTTTTCACATCGTTTTTAACTATGCTTTTGGTTTGCTCCACGCTGCTACACACAATTTCCTTTTCAATCATTACTTCTGATATTACACTTTGATTATTGGACGATTGCATCTGATTTATTTGCCCTTCCCTTTGCGCAATATCTTCTTTTAATCCACTTATTTCTGCAAGTAGCGCTTCATTTTGCTGTTCTAGTTCCTTTAGTTTAATTTGCGTCTCTTGTAACACCGATTGTGTTTGCTGAAGCTCTTGGTCATTCACGCCGTTGTTTTGAAGCGACGCCATCTTCTCTTCATACACACTTTTCAATTCATCTAAAGCTTTTTCTTTATCAATCTTTCCTTGACTCTGAAGTTCTTCAATCTGTTTCTGATTTTCCTCCTTTAGCTTTGCAATTGCATCTTCTAGTGATTTTGCCCGGTCTACCAGCATTTGAACCTGCTCTCTCCCAGATGTCTCCATCTTGGTCGCTTCCTGTAAACTCGCCTGTAGTGACGCAATGGTCTGCTGCTTATTTTCCAGTTGCGACATTAGCTGCCTTCTAATCTGCCCAATTTTCTGTTCTGCTTTCTTCTTCAAATCCGATACTTTCTTTGAGCTTTCTGCCTCGATTCTCTCCTGCGTTGCCTTTAAATTCTCCTCATTGGTTTTCATAATTTCACTTTTAACCCTGTCGAATTCTTCCTTTTGATTCTGCATCTCGAGTCGACACTTTTCATTGTCCTCTTTGAGTGAATGCAATTTCTCCATCATTTCCTGCTCCACATTTCCATTTTTCGTGCACTGCATTTGCGTCTGCTGTAACTGTTCGACCAACACTTTCTTTTCATTCTCTGCGATGCTCTGTTGCTGCTTTAGCTCTATGGTTAGCTGCTCGCACTCTTGTATCTTTAAGGCAAGTTGCTCCTGTATCTCCCCAAGTCGTTTGTTGCAACTTTCGAGCTCCGAGGTAAGCCCGCTCACCTTCTGCTCCTTCTCGCTCAAGATCTGGTCCATTTCAGACTTGCTGATGGACTGATTGTCGATACTCGCGGTCAGTCTTTGCAAGGCATCGTTTTTTTCACGGATTTCACGCTCCAGCTCTTCAAGTACAGTTTGTAATGCTGTGATAGTGTTATTACTTTGGGCACACCTGGATGCCGTGTTGTTTTCTAGTTCGGAGAGACTTTTCCTGAGTGTAGCGGCCTCATCCAGAGCAGATGTCTTCTCTTGCTCGAGTCTCTTCATAACTTCCTCCATTTGCGCTGCAGCCTGTAGCCTCTCCTCTTTATACTGCTGGTTTATTTGATTAATGGCTTCCTCTTTATCTTGTATGCTACTCGCCAGCTGATTTTTCAAGTCACTGATGATGCCTTCCAAGTTACTGATATGAGATTCATTGGCTTTGATGCTTTCTGATATCACTCTGTTCTCTTCACTGAGCGTCTGCACTCTCTGGAGATTTTCCTTATTGAAAGTTTCGGAATCATTAGTTAAGGCTAATATTTGGTCAGCTTGCGCTTTTACCTGAGCGTTCAACTGGTCTAAAGTAATGCATAGATTTCTGTTCTCCTCCGTCTTCTGTCGCAAACTCTCCTCTAAAGTGCAAATGTTGTCTATTTTAGCGAGTATAGTGTTGCGGAGGTGTGCTACCTTTCTGCAACTGTGCCCTAGCTTGTCATTCAGCTCCTCAGTCCTGCTCTCCACTCGCTGACAGAGCTCATTAGAAGCACACTGCAGTTTCTCCTGAACCTCCTGACAGTGAAGCTCCATTTGGTTGGCGATGGTTATTAAGTGCTGCTGGAACTCGGCCTCCTTGGCTTGTAACAGCACGGCGGTCTCTTCCAATTTAAGCTGCAAGTCTTCACTTTCTTTACTTTTGGACCCTTCCAGAGCCCTTAGCTGCGACTCCCTCTGCTCCACTTGTCCTGACAGGGTTTTTAATGCCTCCCTGCTCTCCTCCTCGGCCTTAGTCAGCCTGTCCTGTAGGCTGTTTCTCTCGTTTAGCGCCTGGTTTAAGTTTCTCTCCACTGACTCCATTTTCTCCTTCAGCAACGCCTCACCCTGAGATAATTCCTCCACTTTGACTGCTGCTTTGTTAAGCTCGGCTTGTAGTTTTTGCACAGTGATTTCGCGTATGGCCAGCTCTTCCTTTAGATTCTTTACCTCGCATAGCATCTGATCGTTCTCCTCTGAGCCTCTCTTAAGCGTCTCGTTCAAATCCTCTAGTTCTTGGAGTTTTTCTTGTAAAACTTGTGCATTTTTGTCCGTGATATCCGCCTCCTGTAGTTTCATCCTCTCTTGCAGCTGCTCTATCTCTTTCCTATGTGTCACGTGTAATTTCTCCACTTCTTCCTTGTGATTCGCCTGTAGATCTGTCACTGCATCGCTGAGGCCTTGAGAGCTTTTCTGAGCCATCTCCAAGATTTTTTCCTGAATCTGCTTTTCCTTTTGCTGAACTTCGACATCTTTCTTTTCCAATTCGTTCTTCATAGTTTCATCTTTCTCTTCAAGCTTTTTCTGAAAAGTCTCCTTCATTTCTTTGGCTTTTTGTTTGAATTTTTCCATCTTCGTTTCGTGCGACTTCACCTTGTTTTCCAAATCAGTCCTAACATTATTCAGTTTCTTTTCAAGCGCAGCTTTTTCCTTATCAAATTGAGTCCGCAGGCGAGTCAATTCTTCTTGTTTACCATTTAACTCTGCCGCTAACGACTTCTCTTTTTCACATAGTTCCTTTTTACTCTTTTGCAGCTCATTTTCACTCTCATGTAAAGTCTTCTCCTTTTGTTCACATTCCCTCTTGGCTGCTTCTAACTGTTGCCGCGCATCACTCAAGTCTTTTTTACACTGATCAAACGCCTCTGAAATCGCAGTCAATTGTGCATTTGACTCTTTTACGCTTTCACTTTGGAGCTGAGATAAGCGCTGCTGCAGCTCCTCCACTTGCTTCGATTTAGTCTTCAAATCCTGCGTCGTTGTCTGCGATTCATCTTTCAGTGTTTTTACATTGAGGCTCAGCTCCTTGTTTTCCCTCTCCCTCTCCTTCACAACAATTTTTAAGGCATTAAGTTCCTCTTTAAGCGTTTTCTCCATACCGCCCAGTGACTGCTCATGCTGCGCTTTAATATTCTGAATCTCGACTTTGTGCTTTGCAGCTTGATTGTCGTACTTCTCATGGTGTTCTCGGCTCATCAAATGCTGCTTTTCTTCTGCGGCGGTTAGCTTCTCTTGCAAGAGCCGTTTATTCTTCAAAGCCTCCGACAGCTCAGAGGAAACGGCCTCCAGCTTGATCTGCTTCGCCTCCAGTTTCTCAAAGGTTTTCTGGTTCATATCTTCGACGTGTGCTTGGAACTGCTGCTCTTTGTCTTTGAGAATTGCCTCTATCTCTGTGCGGTGTTGTTGTCGGAGCTCCTCCAAGGCTCTACTATGCTCTTGGGTTAGGGTGCCCTTTTGCTTTTCCAGCTGTTCCTGGTGCTGCAGCCCCAGCGCAGATATTTGCTTGCGGTGTTGGTTTTCCAATTCGTTCAGCCGAGAAGAAAGTTCCTGGGACAAACTGGATTCCTCCTCTGAGCCCTTCACTGTGGAGCTCTCCAACTCCAACACTCTCTGAAAACAAAAACAATTACACATAAATGAGTGCATGGACTTTTAATAACAACTCTATAGATTACGATAAAAATTTGTATTACGAACGTACTGTCTTAGTAGCCTCCAGTTCGAGCTGTATTTCTTTAACCTTGTTTTCGCATTCGTTCTTCAAAGCCGTCTTCTGCAGCTCTGCGTCCTCCAATGCCAGAGTGGCCTGCTGCTCTTGCTCTTTTGATAACTGGGCAAACTCGTCTTTGCATTTTTCCTTAAATGTAAATGCACAGGGATTATTCATAACCAAGTGTTGATTGAAATTATAACTATCTTTATTAGGAAAAAACAATGCTTCAGGGAACAAGCTCAAAGAAGAGTATTTTGGTTCAGATAAAGCAGGAATCGCATCCACAGTTCTTACCCAAACTGAACTACAACTTCATCAATTGTGGCGGTCAGCATAACAATTCTAATTCCTTACTATAGCTGCATTGACGGAAGCGTTCATTTCTTCTTCTTTTGCAGCTAAAGCTTCACTGTGATCTTGCTCCAATTTGGCAACTCGTTCCTCTGAAGATTTCTGCAAAACAGAATCATTTCATGGTCACAAAAAACAAATGCATCTGAATATATTACATTATAGAATAGCAGTTAAAACCAAACATTTCAGATACCCACATTTCCTGCAGCAGGGAGTGTGGATCTGTTGGGGCATTTTTTTATGTTCGTTGGTCATGTTCAAGTAGATATTTGGGAAAATAAGAGGAAAATGGGTGTGGGGGGAGGTACAGTTTGTTGGTCGAAGGTGCCATTTTTATAAAATAATTGATGACTTTCATACAGGACCAAACTAGACCTACATTTAAAATGTTTACAGATATTTGATACAGATCTGTAACAAATCAAGTAATTGTTTTGACACAGTTAAGGCTGGGGTACCCAACATTGTTTTTCATTAATAATACATGGGTTTAGGACCACAAGATGCTGTCAGAAAAAACACACATGTAAAGATGTGACAGGAATCAAAATTGCAGACATGTGGAGAAAAAAGTGATTGAAGCAAATCGTTTTAGGAACATTTGGATTTGATTACATTGTTATTTTTTTGTAGTATAAAAGTAAGGTACCCCAGCTTTAAATATATGATTAAAAAATAGAAAATCAGAAATCAATCAAATCATGACATTCAACATCACACGGGTGGAACAAACTGGGAAAGGTTTAATGATTTGATATTATGATATGTAATTTTTGTGATCTGTTGAATGGAAATGTGATAAGACTATGTTAATGAGTTTGTGCTGTGTATGCCCTAATCATAAAAGTAATAATAAAATTGCCTTTTCATGTTTGTCTGACCTTCATGATGTTGACGACCTCCTGTTTGACCCGACTTAGCTCCTGCTGCAGACTCTTGCGCTCCTCCTCACCGGCTCGCTCCACCTCCTTCACCTGCTCCTCCAGCTGAACCTGCAGCTGCCTCCGAGCCTCCTCAGACTTCTGCGCTGCACTCAGGGCCCTCTCCAGCTCCTCAAACGCTGCACAAACACAACACCTGGTTCATTTTTGCATACTTATCTATACTGCCGTTTGAAAAGGTTTCCTCGGCTGACCTGACTTCTCTACCCTCTCTTTTTGCTCCTGCACCTCTTCTTTTTGAGTGGTGGTCTGTTGAAGCCGCGACCGAAGCTGTGCAATCTCTTCCTCCTTCATTTCAAGCGTCTCGTGCATCTGCCGTTTTGTTTCGGCTATAACCATTCCCTAAAAAAACAACATATAAAATTTTAAAGGGGCAAAAAATGCAAGAGCAGCGCTGAAAAAAAAGTCGCTTCCTTTTTTCCTTTTACAGCACAGAAAAATTCAACACAACTATTCAGATATTTTCTTTAAGATGTCCTGGTTAATGGGCCACTGAGAGCGAATAGTGTGTCCATGTCTCCTGAATGTATATAGCAGGGTTATTCTACCCTGTCCTCATAAGGCCGTGTGGCTGCAAAATTTCACTCTAAGTTTCAAGGTTAAGACTGGACTCACATCAGCCACACTGCCTTTTGAGGACAGAGTTGGTATACAGTTAGACATTTAACTTAGCAACTAGTTTTAAAAATCAAGAATTCTTGGCCACATGCAGGAAGAATCCTGAGGTCACCTATGGTTTTCCCATGTATGCAATAGTTGAAAGGAATTTCTTGGATTCATCTAGGCAACTGCTTCTGTCAGAAAGGGTGCACATGAGTTTGTTTGACATTTATGAACAGGACGGACAAAGCATTTATGTAATTTTGAATTGATCTTTTCCCAGCAAAGTTCAACAGCACAGCCCTAATCATTAACATATTGATTGCAAAGACATTGACATTTCGTGAGTCTCTTCATTCCTAAAACGAAACTGCTGTCCATCCAGCAGCGTGAGGGGTCAGAGTTTAAGTGAAACAACCTGAGGATTCTCCACACCGTGCCGCTTGACTCAGCGGCCGACTGAAAACATGTCCACTTCAATCGAGCGATGCGCTAAAGAGAAGAGAAAGTCGTACCTTGTCTTGTTCCAGCTGTTCGATGTGGTTCTTAGCGTCGCGCAGCTGGTTTATGAGCTTGGTTTTTTCTGTTGTGTGCAACTCCTAAAAAGGAGAAGAAACAATGTAGCAATAAAATAAAGTTAAAACAAGGTTTTGTGGAGAAGCTAAAATCATTCTAGTGGTAATTGGCTTTGACATGACCCAATAATACATGCTTTGGTTACAGTATTAGGTTTAAGAGTGATTTCTCTGAGAATTACACAAACTAGATCACATTTTCATCTTAATCTACCTTAAGCAAACGAGAAACATCCATCAGATGTGAGGCACTATCCTACAACATCAAAATCAGATGTTTGCTGCACCACCCACAATGCCTCTCCCACAAACCAAACAAACCAAACATGAGCACAAGTGCAGCTGAACCAGGAGCCGACGCAAATTACAGCCCAGAGACGCAGCAGTGGCTTGTTGTAGCCCCGTCTGCGCCACCGCTTTTTCACCAGACATTTCCAGCTTTGATCCATGTCTCTAACTGTATTTAAAAAGTGTTAACATTTTTTTTTTACAATACAACAAACCAGTGTGTTGTGGGATTGGATAAGCAAAGAATTTATTCTTAGTTTTTTGGTAGCGTCTGATGGTAAAGCTAGTAGCCTAATGTTCCTGTAAGTTCCAGGGCCCCCTTGAATGAACTGAACATTGATGATCACCCCAGAGCGGCTCATGTTATCATTTTAAAATAGAAAATACATTTATTTTGACAATCAATGGCTTCACACAACCACCAACGAGGGACAGCTTAGATTTGATTGGACAGTCTATGAACTCCACACAACAGTGAGAACAGCAGCCACAGATGGTGGGTTTATGAGATGAGCAGGACAGCAGCTTCAGGATGTCTTCATGCTGCTTAAGAGGTCTAAGCGGCTGTTAACCTCTGCTTTTCCAGACACAGGAAAGACCACATTTGCAAATGGAAGTCATATTTTAAACTAATTCTCAGGGAATATGCAGCTTAAGAGGATAAACTAATGTTACACATTTTATTGTCTCAAGGTACTAATGGTACGAACGGGTGACCTTTAAAAAGGAATTTTAATTTTCAAATTTGAATGGCTTCACAGTGTTGATGTTTTTACCATACCATTGTACCCATTTTATTTGTACATGTAGGGAAATAATAATTGACAGGAGTTTATGGATGGCTAAGGCCGGGCTAGGACAGATTTAAAGAATTGGTTTAGTTTTGCTTTTGAAGCAGCCTTCTGAGTTGATTCTCTAATGCAGGCATGTCAAAGTCAAATACATCAGAGAGCCAAAAAAATTTTTTTGCTACGCACCGAGGGCCGGACTGGTTCAATGTTTCTCAACATCCAGAGGCAGTGCCGTTGACACCTGCTGGCTCGATAAAATATGCTCTAAAGCCAATCCTCATACTGTACATATTAGATGTAATAGACATCTGAGAACATGAAAATAGTAAAAAAAAAAAGCTCAAACTTGGTGAAATGTAAAAGAGCAGTCTGGACCTCTTTTCGGGGCGTTTTTTGATTAAATCTGCAGAATGGATTATACTTTGGGAAATACAAGTGGATATTCTTCTTCAATGAACAGTTAAGGAGAGAAAGCAACTAAGCAAGGATGGGGAAAGTCTAATTTGTTGGAGCAGCAGAAGACGAAAGGTAAAAAACAAATAAATACGTGATTTATTTTGTGCCCATATTATGCGTTATATCTTTTTAATGCAAAGTCTGATATTGTTTACACATATAAATATAGCTGAGAAAATAAGCTTTAAAATGATATATTGCTTGTGGCTTATGAAGTTCAAAATACATCTGCTATTGCCAGCAGATGTATTTCTTTCCTCGTTTGCTCCCGCCGGCGTGGGCTAGCGAGCTTAAGGGGTCAATACATTGCCTCAATGGCAGGCAATGTCCCGGGGGCCATAGATAATTCATTCGCGGGCCGGATTTGGCCCGCGGGCCTTGACTTTGACACATGTGCTCTAATGTATTAGGGTAAAACATGTATATTTACCCAAATGTCAATTGAAAAGCAAAAATGCCTTTTTGGAGAAAGAATGTTTAAGAATTAGTTCTGATAAAATAAACAAAAAATAAATCCAAATAACTTCAGCACTTAAACATCCCAAGGGTCAAACAACACAATCCGATCATAGCAGTCAAAACATGTTTTGAAATCTGAAAAAACCCACACAAAAAATACGTAGTGTTTCAGTCGTGTCACTCTGACATTCCCCAGATTGTGTTTTTGGAGCCGGTCCAGGAGCAGCTTTTACACTGTGTCAATGAGATAATGGAGGCCAATCAGCAGCGGACCGTGACCAGTCTGCCAGACGTTTTATAGCAACATTAATGACACCGTATTCAGCTTTTGCAAATCATCTTAAATTATGAACAACACTGTAATTGTGGTTAATGATGAAAACCTCATTAACTTCATCATGAAAAAATATTATCTGTGAGGCTCTGTCGCTTTTGAATTAAAAACATCCACCTATTTGTTAAATGTAAGCAGAGGAAAAACAGAGGGAGGGTGTGTGAAGCTTTGTTAGAAAACGTCGTGAAATGAAATAAACTTAAAGCTTGTGATTTTAAATAAATATGTACGTATACATGTATATATTCTCAAGAGCAAAAGGATCATTATTGTCACATTGGGATCTTCTTCATTCTGGAGAGCTAATCTACTTCAAACATGAAAAAAATATATATTTTATTAACAGAAAAAGCCAAAATATCCATTGAGGTATTTTTGGAAAGTTCTCATCTTGTGAATCTTAAGGACAATTAGGCATGGATTGAACGACAACTGGAAAGCTGAACAGGAGAAGAAGACAGGGAATTGTGACAGATTTGTGTTTTGGATTATGTATTACTAATTACTAATGACATTTTGATTTGATTGCTTAAAGCAAAATTAATAATGTGGTGGTAACAGGGCATTGTAGCATGTCTGCTTTCATTGGGCATAGACTCCCATTATCTTAAATAGAGACTAAACAGACACACAATAATATATTTGCACTAATTGGAAAACTGCAACTCACCACTGTATCAATGTTGTCATTAAAGAAAGATAAAAATACATTCAAACGTGTCAATTTTAAGGGCTGTGGGATAACTTTAACCCCAGGGAAATTAAAAGCATGTATATACACCTTCATCTTCTCCAGCTCCTGCAGCCTCTCCTGCAGCTGTTCTTGGAGAGTTTCATTCTCACTGCCGAGTTGTGCGCTGCGCTCTTTGTGAGTCCTCAGCACTTCTTTACACTTCTGCAGGAGGTTTTCCTGCCGCTTCACTCTCTTCTGCAAAGCCTCCATCAGTTTGGACGGATCACTGTTGCCCCCTTCTGTTCAGAGAAAAAGTCCCTCAATTACAAAAACGAGCAGGACAATTGACATCAAAAATCAAAATCAAAACAGGTTAGAAATCATCAAAGGGCAAGTATTATGCATCATGCTAACACCATTTTGGGTGAGAAACCTCTGTTTTCACTAAACCCTGTACAACTGAAAGCTTACACAAACTTAACACCATTTTTTCTTTATAGGCAGGAGGAATTACAAAGAGTATATACATTAAATGTATTAATGTATTACATTAAGTGCAATGCATTTAACATAACTGACCAAAAAGATTGTTTTCGTAGGGAACATTACATTTTCTGAGCTGAATAAGTGTTAACAGTCTGAAAACCTGGGGTACCAAACTTTTAATTCTTAAATGACAGATATTTTTCTGGCCCAACGTAAAGTATCACATTGTAAATAAATCAGACCACAACATGCAGTCTGTATCCTATAAGAAAACATTTTATCTTTTTCACACTGTGAGTCCCAAGAGTCACTAATTGATACTTTGGGTTGGGAGCTGATTGGCTGAAAAATGTGTCAGCTGGTCTATGGAATGTGTGTGAAAACTAGTGATGATATTAAATAGAAGGATTGTAATTACATGGTTAATTTATTTGCTCTTTGAAAGTTCTGTACCAAAGCTTTAAGAGACTAAAACAACAAGAAACTGGTGGTCCACGCTTGTCCTCCACACAGCAGAATTAGGTGTTTTGCTTTCTCATCACGCTTACCCTCAGTCACTTCTGTCTCTGCTTCCTGCTCATTAGGTGGACTCTTTGGGGCAGAGTTTGAATCTTCCGATAGTGAGACTTCACCCTCGGGCAGCGCAGTACCGTCTGAAACACCTTTGACGCGCTTCTTCAATAATGAGACCTGTTAACAAGAACGAGGAGGAAAATTTTCACCACATCACATCAAGTCCTCAATCAATACTCCACAGACATGCTCACCTGTGTTTGGAGAACCGTGATCATTTGGTCTTTCTCCTCCAGTGCAGCATCAAACTCGTCTTGTAAGTGCTTCTTTGCTTGTTGGTCCATCTGTAGCTCCTGAGGATAATTCAAATCATAACTTATTTTTTACAAAACAAATTTAACAAGGGTCGGTTCAAAGGCTTTCACTAAAAGACTTAAATGTTCTTGCCGCGTACCTCCCGCAGCTCCCCAATTCTGCGCAGTGCCTTATCTTGACTCTGACTTAGGATGGCCTGCGGAGAAGAAAGTTAATTAATTCATTAAATCATTAAATTTTAAGTAGAGATGTGACCATAAAAGAGAATAATCCTCTCATCATCCGATTATGACATCAAATAGTGAAAATCCGGACGCCGATATCTCTCCCATTTATACAGCATTATTTGAATTAAAGTTTGTGAAACGTTACCTGTGTTTTTTCTTTGTCTCGCTGAACCGTTCTGTATGCAGTCACAAGCTAGAATCAGTAATAGAATATTATTAGTATAAGTGGTTGTATTGGTGAGTGATATTTTTTTTTCCATGTTTCAGAGATAATGACGGATATGAAATAAAAATGTTTTTCTTTTTCAAACAATGGCAAAAGAAACTAATCCAATGACCCTGGTTAAAAGTTTAACCCCATTCTAAATACTTATTTGTTTTTTCTTTATCCTCTTTGATGGTTAAGTTCCCCATGTTTGCAAAAAGTTCCTGTAAATTCCTGAGCAGCCTTGCATGAATTCTTGCCAGAGCAGTTCAATTCGGTTCTAATTTGAAAACCGAACACATGTATACATTTCACAATAAATGGCTTCACACAACCACCTAACAAAGAGTGATGAAAAGACTGTGTTTTCATTCATAATCTCCAAAATCACGTAAACTTCCAAGCCCAACAGTCGAGCTCGATGCTTAATGATAAGGTTTTAAGTTTGAGCCGTAAACCTTCAGTATGGAATATGTACATAGGGCTTATGCTTGAATACGGTCGGGTCCCACCTCCATAAAACGGCTCCAAACCCTGCTCACCTCTGAGTACTTGCCCCTGTACTTCCCCAGGCTGCTCTCCACCTGCAGAAGTCTGTGCAGCAGCTGGTCTTTGGACAAGGACTCTGCACTTCCCGGCGGCTCCTCGGCCTCACTCTCAATGTCGGACGGAGGGTCGTAAGAGGGGGCACCCAGCGGCTCGCTTTCCCCCAAAGGTGTCAGCGATTCCCGGGAGGATGTCCGCACCAGGTTGTCTTTGGATGGGGATCGGAACAAATTTTCTGCTCGACTGGCACCGCTACGAATCAGAGACTCCATTGATGGGACTTTGAGCTGAAGTTTCTGTGCAAAGGACTGGGGCTCCTCTTTCTGTTAAAGAATAGTGAACAAAACAATAATTAAAGGACATACATTTAAGCTATGAACACATAACATATTTATTTATTTATTTATTTATTTATTTAGAGGATAAGCCCCTTGAGATGAATCATCTCGTTTTCGAGGGGGTCCTCAAGATTTCACAAGGACAGATACAGCAAAACAGATGAAAATAAGACAAAAGAAAATCATTAAAAAAAAAAAAAAAAAAAAAAAACACAAAACAAATATAATAAAAAAAAAAAAAAATAAAAGCAACCATAACAAATACACACACAATCACTTGATACATACTTGAGGAGAGGCACTTCGATCTCCATTGACACTACCTCTGGGTGATCTGGGTGGTTCTTTAGTAGCAGTCTACGTAAAAGAAAACAATATTAAAATAAAAGGACAAATGAGAAGTCCAAAACAGTTAGTCATCCACACCCAGCGTGGCACTCCCTGATTACTCTGACAGGAGCAATATTAGTATTGCTGGGAGCAATGCAGGGGCAACGGCTACCCTCATGCAACTGGAGAAAACAGGGGTTAAACATAGAAGGCATCTACTGGACATCAAACACAACAGGTTAAACTGTCTTCTACTCACAGTAAACACAGTCATAAAGGAGTCAGTACTGAATTAAGGCACTTGGCAGCCTGCAGCTGTATTAGGAAGCAGAGACATCACTGCAGGACATTATCGTTTAGTTGGTTTAGTTGCCTTGTTAGAAGAAGCATCACAGGGAGCAGTTTTCTCCTTCCTTGTCCAGCTTCCAGCGATGGTGCTTCTTCCTCTTAATTATGGTGCAAAATATTGTTGGGAACATGGCCACTGTGGGATACTAACAGGACACATTTTGGTGGGTATTGCATTTCACTCTAAAATTAAGTTTTTGAACATTGCAGTTACAGTCAGTCGAGTACTAACTTTTGGGAAAATGCTAATAAAAAAATGAGTTGTGGACAAATCAATTTTTGTCATCAAACCAAACAGACACAATATACTTTTTAAAAAAACAAGCCAATGCTTCATCTTTCTGTTATTTGTTGTTCCTCTTAGACTTTATAATTTCAAAGCACTAAAGGTACCATGAAAATCAGCCAACACAACCAGCAGGTAAAACAAGTTTGTCTTTACCACTGACAAAATGAGTGTTAATTGACTAAATGGTTTTATGAGATGTGAAATGCAAAAAGGGACTTGAAAACTGATGATAAACTGCAACATGGTATCTGAAACTACTACGACGATACAACTGATAATAGTTAAACCTGTTCTAGATTAGATCCATAATATTATTTTCAACAACAGTTAGTTAGACCAGTAATGTTTTAACAACAACAGCATCTTCACAATTCTGCAGAGTTTGTTTACTTGGAAGAGTTACAAGACATTTAAGACATTTAATTAAGCAATTTTGCAAAAGGTCACAATGCTGTTAAAACTCCCCAAATAAACAGACTTTTAGGACATGGGCAACATAGCAGGGAGACGGAACTATATTTGGCAAGCATCTACAATTTGTCCGGGGAAAAGGGGTAAATATTTCATCAGGAGAACATTATAAAACTGAAGGGAAGGGCTGTAAACCAACAATGATGGCAGAAAGCACACTAACGTCCTGGTAGATGCAATGTTAGCCTACACATGAGATGCCTTCTTGCTGCTAAATCCAAAAGGAAACAGACAGAGCAGGGAACAGGCAGTCCCTACGAGGGCCACAGTCTTCAACTGATTTTCCCAAAGGCACGACGATAGGAGGAAGGAACAAGGCAAGACTAGGAAGAGGAGAAAATAAGGAGGACGAGGCAGGAAGTGGGGGCAAACTCACCACACTGGCTACCTGGGCCGTTTTGGGTCGTTTTGAATGGTCCAGTGCAAAGATAGTATACTCAGAGAGAAAAGCGGGCTCTGCTATCATCCCGGCCAGCACCTGACCGCGTCAGTGCAAGTCCAGGACGAAAGGACAGGAGAGGAACACAGACAGCAATGAGAAAACAACACCATGAGTGTGAGAGACTGAGCGGAGAGTGAGGGAGCATAGATGATTAAAAGACGGAAATGTCAATCAACAAAACGATGTTATGACGCTTTGGCATCTCTGCATGTGATCACAAATACTACTGCTTAAGAATCATTGGTGACCTGGAATATTAGTCAACTAATCTCAACATTAGGGCTTCAATGTCTGACACAGGGCAAAGATGTCAAAGGTGAACGATATGTTGTGATGATAGATGGGGGACAGAAATGGCAGATGTAATCAGATCAGATATTTTTTACTCACTGGTGGTATTTTTCCTTGGGCTAGACAGGGACCAGACAGGGACCCCCAAAACAAGCACAAACCTCATTTGTAGCCCACACTCCAACAAAGCCTGATATATTAACTATAATGTTGCTTGTCAGAGTCATTACCTGATTTCAAATGTTATTAAAAATCAATTAATTTACAAAGTAGAAATCTGTGATAATTACATCGCGATTAAAAATAATCTTTCAACCCCCAATAAAATTCATACGGCCTCCACTTTGGAAACCACGGTATTAGATCAAACCACTCATTACAAGATATTGCACCCTTGACTTGCTTTTTATGATTGAATCAAGAAATCTTACAAAAAACAGTAAAACATTAAATTACAAACAAAATGAAAACATATATATTGACAACAAGAATAAAGCCTATTGGGAAAGGCACAGTTTTATTCCATAGCAACACAAAATTGAATTCTATCTTACCATTCCTGATAAATAATAATAACCATTTAACATTAAAAACCAGATTGCTCCTCCATGGTTTTAAGTACATTCCAGAATTGTATTATCGAACAATTATTCTAAATCAGGTATGGTTGTTTATGCCTAATTAGCAGGTAATAACTCATTGGACAACAGCTATGCAAGACTTATGAATCCTTAAAAGCTTGTGAAAATGCAGTATCACAGCCAAAGGCCACACAAGAGTTATCTGGGTCACAAAGCAAACAACACTAATGGCACTTTTATGCCATGTCGCGCAGTTTAGGAGGGAGATTTCTCAGAGGACTGTGGATTGGAGCCTGCTTTTGAGCATACAAGAAAGGTGTAAGATCTTGATACACTTTTGCTCCAATGAACAGCCAAGAAGTCTTCCATCCGTACTCCTTGACACGCACATGAAAGTGTCATGAGTTTTGCAATTAAAACATTTTGCACATTTTGGGCACAAAGGCAACAAAAACAAAGTATTGTATATTCCTCATTTTACTGCCTACCTCTCTGTCTCTGGGAGTAGGAGAGCCATCATGAAAAGACCCGCGGCGGCCTCCAGGAATTCCCTGTGTGAAAGAAAAACAAATACTGTTTACAAATACTGTTTAACGTAGCGTAACGATTACTTTGATAATTAGTTGGCCAAAAAATCATCATCATTCACCTCGAGTTTTTTACAACACAAAAGGTTGGTGCATATAGCAATACAAAAATGAAATTATGTAATTTACGTGTGAATGTAATTTGGTTAACACTTCCTCAAAGCAATCAAAATTCAATCGATCAAAAAACGGATAAAAGTTGACAATTATTTAAATCTATTCATTGGAATAAATTAATTTTTCAGAATCAGCATTCTTGCCATTGTGAGTAATAGGAAGCCACAAAATAGGAAATTGCTTAAAATAATAATAATAATAATAATAATTTCGTTTTCAGTCTTCAAATGATGAAGGAAATGTAATTGCATAGGGTTAAAACTCATGCAGGGAGCAATTACATGTTAAGTAGTATCCCCCAGTAGTATTTTAAAAATATCAAATTATCAAATACAGGGAATGTTGCAGTCTAATAGTATTCAATACATAGCATGCACCCAAAACCAAAACAACAAGGGTATATAAGACATCGTTGTGAAGTTTGCGCCCTTCTATACAGTACTATAACACACAGAAGTGAACTTGGTGACAGCTGAGTTAGACAGATAATAAACACATCACTACCTCTAAAAATGCAGCCATTCAAACACTACAAAGCAAACCAAACACCGTTATTGCACGTGAAGACGAGATATACTGACATCCATTATATAAGACTAGGTTAAAAAACGATAACGAGATCATAGCTATCATCAAAGCCAGTGTAAACAGATGCTAGCTTAGCATGCTAGCCTCCAGCACAAACTAACCTGGGCCTGCGCTGGTGACTGCGCACTCCTCGGAGGCGTCTGCTCCTCGTTTATTTTCTGTTTCAGCTTTTTAAACATCTTGTCCTCTTCTCCCGATAAACTGCTCCAGAGAAATATCGGGACGGAGATGTGGTTTCGTTTTAGACTAGCCTGACATTAAAATCCCCCAGTGCCAGACTTCCTTGTTGGCTTCCAGCAGGTGACTCGGACGACTACGCATGCGCGGCCAACGTGGAGGAAATCTGAGCCGTCTGAGTTAAAGGGACATTACGATTATTTGAATACACAACAGCGCCACCGGTGGTATAAAGTCTTCCACGAACAGTGACCACAGTGACAAGCGATTCGATTATGTGATAATTATATTCACCGAAATGTTTTATTCTCTTTTTTAGAAACATTTTCCTGAGCTGTGACTTGCCAAACCCAATATCATTCTCATAATTATTAAATATTTTGGTTGTATTAGTTCTGAGTAGACAGAAGCAAAAGCTTATCATTTTCATGGTTGCATGTTATGTAATTTTGCTACCCAAAGAACATGAAAACGGACGGTGTCATTGGTAAAGACGAGACATACAATATGTAATACGAGAGTACTCCAAAAAGTACTGTTTTTGTTTGTTGGGCACTGTTCAGAACAAAATCTGGGAGGAAAATATGATATGATGATTTCAGGGTCTTTCCAAGATGTATGGTAAATGACATGCTCATTTAATTGTTGTCCTTCTGTAAAGATATGTATTTGAACGTTTTACGTTTTATACAGTAAAATTCCAAGTTGGAATTATTTGCTGCAGGAAGAGCTATGCTAAGGTGTCGTCTGTGAGTTTGATGAACAAATGCATTTTAAAAAGTTAAATTGAATGTAAGTTCAAATGCAAGTCCCCCATTACCTTATAACTAATATTATCTTATTCATATTATAAGATAATATATTGATTAATATAATCAATCAAACAAACAAACTGTATTTATAAATAACTTTCCATACAAGAAATGCAACACAAAGTGCTTTAATGTTTGGTTAAAAACAAACCCACATACCCATGACCCCTCCACCCAACAGACCCACCCCAAACCACATATTCATCATCATTATTATTATCACTATTATTCTCATTGTTATTGCCACACAGTACAAACAGTAAGACCATGAAGAGAAATAGAGCTGGGTGCAGATGCAGCCAATGCAGCGATTTTAAAACCGGTGTAATGTGGTCCCGTCCCCTGAAAACCTGGGGGGGCGGGACCCTGAAATGTTCTTTTTGGGAAGACCAGAGAGTGGGGCATTATAGTTGTCTATGCTAGCGCTTTTCAATCATTTTTGAGCCAAGGCACACTTATTTCATTGAAAAAATCTCACGACTCAAACCACCAGGAGAAAATGTAAAAATATGTACTCTGTGCCCTATATTCACAATATAAAGTCATTCTCATAAAGTGCTTAAATAGACATCCAGGCCTTGAAATTAAGCTTTGATTAATATTTCTCAATAAAATGAGTTGAAAAGAGTTTGGGAATAAAGTGGCACTAACTGTGTGGAAAAATATATTCAAAATCTCAGCCTAAAAAGTCAAACAATGACTCACAGGGCTCTTAAATATGCATAATAATGAAAATAAATGGCCTGTTGTGTGTTCTGTTTGATTTGTTCACAACATTTTTCTTTTGTGCACAAATAATGGGTAGCTTTAGATTTGGGAGTTTTGGCTGCACTTTGGGGGGAGACACGGGGGAGACACAGGAGAGACACGGGAGAGATCTTTGTGATCTTCTTAATATGTGGAATAAAAGTCAGCTCAAAGTCAAAAATTACTCCCAGGTTTTTAACTTGATTTTGTTTGGATAAAAAAATATGATTCTATGTGAAAAAAAGTATGATTTAGAGATTGTGATTTACATGTTTCTTCCAATGGATCTGTTGTGAGAAGATAACAGCAGCGCTCAGACATTCGAGTGAATGATGGCCTTAAACCTTCATTTGATGTCTCCAACAAGGCATTCTGTGGGAGAATTGTTGTTGAAACTCAAACTCACTACACCAAAGCTATCTTTCTATACAGTTCTTTGTTCAAACAGCTGAGACCCCGCCTCCACACAAGATTAAAAAAAAACTTTTACACAATATATGAAGATTTTTTTCTACAATGTCCATTTGCTAATACGTTTCAAAAGTTTTATGCAAACTGCATTTTTGCAACAAGGATCATCTTCACATTTTATGACCCAACGTTGATGTAATACTGGGACATACTTTGGACTGTCCTTTCCAAAAAAAAAATGTGTGAAGAGTATTTTTATATAGACGACATTTCCACAGAACAATTTGCCATAATGAGCACCTTTCTTGCATGCTTGATCCCCTGAGTTGTTCCCAAAGATACAGAAAAATAATTAATTGGATGAAAGAAAAACACGCTTTATTGTAAAGCCAATGCTTTTGTGTTTGCACAGTACAGAGACTTTTCTCTAAAGGCGTGTTTATAACAGTGATTTCTCCCAGAAAGCTTGTGAAAGGACCACGATAATTAAATATTCATGGAACATTTGATATTCCTTGACACAGCTCCTAGCTCCTTTCCTATCTCCTTCTTTGCGTCCTATAGCTTCTCCTGAGCTGCAGTGAGGCTCATTTACAAACTGCCAGAGGGACGGTCACCTCAGCTGGTTTTATAATGGCATCTCCTTCCAGCTCCACTACAGCATGGGAAGACAACAAGTTGACAGAGATGGATGCTATCGTGTAAAATCTTCTATTACATGCGGCTGCAAAATCTGAGCAAATCTTTCAGGAATCTGATCCATGCAAGTGTGTTGTCAGATCAGAAATACATGATCTTTTCACTCTCGCCGATGTGTTTTGCTGGTTCTCCAAGCAGCTCTTTGCTTTTTCTTAAGCCATGTGGTGTCATCATCTGTTTCTTTGAGCCAGTGCCCACTATGGCACTCAGGCCATCCCACATTAAGGAGATGGACTTAGAAGTGTTTCCCAATCATGGTACAGACATCAACTCATCCATCCATTCTCGTCCACTTTATCTGTTGCCAGGTCACAGGGGCACAGTCTGAGCAGAGATGCCCAGAGAGTTCCCAATCCACGCACTCTTCCTCCAGCTCAACTGTGAGGATTCAGAGGCGATCCCAGGCTTGCTTCTACTTTCAACTCTATGTGTAATAACTAGACATGATTACACAAAGAATTTTCACTAAATCCTTATAGGACCACAACCATTGTGTATCCCTAACCCTAAGTTATTTTTTTTCTGCTTGTACCTATCTCAATTCATGATATATGGGCGGCACGGTGGCTGAGTGGATAGCACTCTCGCCTCTCAGCAAGAAGGTCCTGGGTTCGAATCCCGGCCGGACCAGGGCCTTTCTGAGTGGAGTTTGCATGTTCTCCCCGTGTCTGCGTAGGTTTCCTCCGGGTACTCCGGTTTCCCCTACCACTAAAAATATGTACAATAGGATTGGCATGCGCCTGCTGTTCGGCGACCCTGCTCCATCTCTGTGTGGAGTGAGAGACAAGTGCCCAAAAATAACAATTGTAAGCCGCTTTGTGACTCTGGTCTGTGAAAGGCGGTATATAAATAAACATTACTTACTTACTTACTTACTTACTATAAATGTTTGTTTTAAAAATTATAAACTTGTCTGTTGGAACACCTACATGGGTATTAACACTTTTCAAAGGGGGGGCCACCAGGTGGAGCTACCCCTCTTTCATCTAGCATGTGTAACAAATATTATAAAGGACAACTAATATTGAGTGCCAGTTTTTGTGTTATTCATAATAATGTCTTGATAAATGGCTGTTGCTTTTCAGCTGCAGCCACACAGGGAACATGGCAAATGTCCATACACAATTTGAAACAGCTGTTTTTCATCTCACTGTTGTAATTACTGTGAGATCTGTACATTTACTCTTGAGAATCCGTGTCATTTGTTTAGTGCACAACACAAATGTATAGTGGTGCATTTAATGAGAAAACTGAGTAAATAACTTTCTATGCCCATTCTGTTCATTAGGACTGTTGAGAAAAATATTATTTAGCTTTCTAAATGTTGCAAAGAAAAAAAAACCCTGTCTGTCTAACATTGCTGATATTTAATGAAAGTTCTTTTCTGCATTGCAAAAAGAGCCTGGTGACTTGGCAAGTGAGTTACAGTACTCCTAATATCGTATGATAATGTCAAAGATTGTCCTATGAGCAGTAATAATAGTTGCCATACCTGCATGTGAAAGTCTGATCCCATTAGATCTCAAAAGCTAAGCAGGGTAAGACCTGGCTAGTTACTTGATGGGAGGCCTTGGGGCACACCAAGTATCCACATGGAACTTTGAGTCTGCTGTGTGAGGGGATGATTAGTGGTGGCAGCCTCACTCTGGTCAAGATGTCCCAGGGCAGCTGTAGTTCTGGCAGTAATTTATGGACTGAATGAATAAAGGTAATTTTTATGACAAAATATGCATTTGGAGTTTTTTAGCTGTTGAAGCATTTGTTATTGACATGTTGTATGAGTTGAGAGATTTTAGGTTGGAGAAGGTGTCCGATACACCAAAATAACTAAAACAGAGAAGATGCACCAAAATAACAAAACAAAAAAAGTAATCAAATCGTACATTTTAGTTTCTGAGAAATACTGTAAAGTTCCGGTTGTTCAAAGATTCAGTGTCGGGTGACACTAAAGATTTAAGGAGCAAGCAGTAGCCCATGGTTTGTTCGTCAGCAAACTTGTAAACAGAATATCCATTTAGCTGGATTTAATTTGCCTCATGCTGACATAAACAAGGCCAATTAGGAGCTTTGATTTGAAGGATTTTGTTGTATTCATATACAGGCATCAGACAACTTATGGCATCGACGGTCATTATAGCATTGAATTGGTTTCTTCCCTTTCCTGATAAGTTTACCTCACAGGAGAAAGATGACGTGATATCTTAAAAAAAAGGAACTCAAAAAATATGAACATACAATGTTAGAGCTTTTAAATCTTGCCATAGGTCAGCCCCTCGATTAATTTGTCTCTAGCCAAAGAGGGTGGTTGACTACAGTACAAGTTCATTCATTAA